CACACACACACACACACACACACATACACACACAAACACATACACACGCAAACACACTCCCGTACACACGTACACACATACACACATTCTCACATGCGTACACACATACACACACACAAACACACACACACACACACACATTTACATACACACCACTCACATTAACACATTTACGACGATTATTTCTCTCTCCTATGGGTTCCGCCGCCTTTGGATCTTTTACGTTATTCACAGAAGAATATAAAAAAGCTAACACTGAACTTTGACAGGGGAACAGATTAGAGGACATCGGCCGAAAGCTAGGGAACAAAAATTATGTTTTTATCCTGTCTTACGGTATGTTCATTTCAGGTTACATTGCACTAACCGTAATAACCATCATTCTTTTCAGAAAAATGAACGGATTCGTAGGGCCCTCTGTAACTTTTCCCTAAAGAGGAGAGAAAAGTTAGGCACTACGAGTATGACCCCAGACTCAAACTCTGAAGGCATTTTCGAAGGGCTTGGTCACTTAGAAATAATGGTTGAATGGAGGAGGGTATTCTGAAATACGTTGGGGGCTAAATCATCACTAAATATATACCCGTTTGTGGAAAACTAGCCCTTTTAAGGAAAAGTTGTACAAGACCAAAAGCGGTCTTTTTTATTTGAAGACTCAAACGCCATATTTTAAGAAAGTGGAAAATTCTGTATCTAGTAGCAAGGGTAGCATTTCTTTTACCTTACATATCATAGAACTGAGCGTGGTGATCCATGAGGTTATTTTCGATTCTTAAGGAATGCAACAAAAGCAAAAGAGAAGAAAACAACTGTCTAAAAAAAAATTGAGACTTATCTTGTTTTCTACTGAAGTCTTTATTTATTTATGTACATTGGGTTGGGTTTTTTTAAACGTGCCCGGAAGTGTCTTGAAACAAGAGTTCCAGCCTCTGATCAGCAATTTAGATGAACGTAAAGTTGAAAAAATTTGAATTTTGGCTAGCCATACCTTGCTTTCTTTTTCTCCTTTTAGTTGCTAGGTCCCTTTAAGAGTCGGGCAATTAACCTCGACGTCTCTGTACGGCTGGTCAGGGTCTGGCAGTCCCGTTTCGTTTCACCAGTCTGGTATTCTGATTGACTGCTAGAGATTCATTTTGTTTGTTTATGGATACGCTCGTGACCAGGGCCCGGTTGCTATGGAAACCGACGCTGATTTCGACATATTCGTATTTTCCTATCATACGTATCTCTACCCTCCCCTTGTGTTTGGAATGCATGTGTTTGAAAACCTATAATTCCTGGTTTTGTCTCCTGACTGGCATGCAGAGCCCCCTGTAAAGATTGCGAAGATAAGGAGAGGTAAAAGAGGAAAGCGACGAGGGAGTCGTTAATAACAAGTTTGAAGAGGCGTCTGCGGTTTGGATTAGATCTGTTGTAGACGTCAGAAACTCATAACGCCATGGTTTGAGAGCACAGATATCAAGAGGAGAGGATAGGGGGAGGGATTGATAGAGGGAGAGGGGTTTGGAGAGGGCGAAAAGAGGGAAAAGGAAAAATAAGAACCTGGTAAAGGAGAAAAAGAAGAGGGTGACTTAGAAGAGTAGAAAGAGAGATGCGCACGCGCGCGCGCATACACACACACACACACACACACACACACACACACACACACACACACACACACACACACACAAACACTCGCAAACGTACACTCAAATACATTGAGGGAGAAATAACGACAGACAAACAGACAGACAGACAGACAGATATAAAAACAATGGGGCAAGCAGAATACGTAGGAGGGAGGGGGGGAGAGAGAGAGAGAGAGAGAGAGAGAGAGAGAGAGAGAGAGAGAGAGGGGGGGGGGAATGTAAAAGTGAGGGTGGAGGACAAGAGAAAGGGAGAATAAAAGACAAACAGACCGTTTTAGACAGAGACGGAGATCGAGACGGAGGAGGCTCAGCGGACTAGGGAACTGTAAGCGGATCACAAAATGACTCAGACACGTAAACAAACGCTCAGAGACTCGGGTGGAACACTCTGGAATAGATAGATCCTTTCTTTTTTTATTATTGTTTGTATAATATTCACTCATGGATGTAGACAGACAGACAGACAGACAGACAGACAGACAGACAGACAGACAGACAGACAGACAGACAGACAAACAGACAGACGGACAGAAAGACAGACAGGAGACAGATAGATAGATAGATAGATAGATAGATAGATAGATAGATAGATAGATAGATAGATAGATAGATAGATAAAAACATAAATAGATAGATGCTACTGCAGAGTTTTACAGAAATACGAATGACGATCGTGCCACAGAACACTCCACCTTTGATGATATCAACGACAAGGGGAACGGACGAGACAGTGACGGTTTGAAGCTCACATCCTTTATATCCTACTTAATAACCTTCGACCATAGTTTCCATAAAGTGAAACGTGCTTTTCCCTCACTCTTCTCCAAAATGAGAGACACCCCCCCCCCCCAAAAAAAAAAAAAAAACAGAGAAAAGGAAAAAGACAAAAATGTATAGTAAAGATACCGCGAGTCACCTCAGGTAGTGTTTTTCGTGTTCATGTAGTACGGATTCACCTATACTGTTCGATGTTTAGTCACGTTTTTTGCCCAGCTGGGAGTTCTCCAGTATTACAGTTTCATTTCCATGAAAGTTAGCGATATTGGCGAGCAGACATGTACCCTTAAATTGTTATTCACTAATGTAAGTGAAATATAATATGCTAATAACAGTATTACTGGGAAAAAAGCAACTAAGTGAAAAGGTTAAAGTAAAGTTGTAATGTTTGGTGTGGAACACATGTGTTCTTGCTTTTATTTGTTTCTTTGCAAAATGTTTGATAATTTATTCTTGATTTCTTTCTTTTTATTTGAGAAGCAACCAAAATTCTGCACTTGTCTTATTAATTCGCTTTTCTTTTAACCTGACGAAAGGAGTATTTCTGACTATGAATTCTAGTTGATAAAGATATTTCTCCACCCCCACCCCCTACCCCCCTTCCTACTTTTTGTTTAAAAAGGAAAGAAAATAGTCTAGTGGACTTGGAAACCTCGGAACTCCCAACAGGAAAAACCTTTTATTCAAAAGTGGAACTGTTGAAGCTCAGGCGCTGTTACTAGAAAGGGGTCAACTTTATCTATAATCCTTGTTTGAATGGAAATTGTCTACAAGGGAAATCCCACGAGTTGAAATACTACAAAAGAGGAAAGGAAGAAAGAAAGAAACATCAGCAATGCGATACTTTTAAGAAAAAGAATCAGAAAAAAAGCCACGAGTGCAGGTTGAGGTGAACGCCCTATGGGAAGTACAGGAGACGAAAAGAACCATTCACAGTTACGTTTATTAGATCTAGACGTGGTACCAACTAATAAAGTGATTCTTGGTTTTTCTTGCCGTCAGTTTGCGATCACCAGTTTAGGCTTATTTCTTTTTTAAAACTGAACATCCCATTCCTACAGTGGTAGAAATTTGCTTATTGCTTAAAAAGGGAAATAAAACATATTCTGTCTTGACCTTTATCAAAGAGAGCCCAGAGTCTACAGTGAAGATTGTACGTAGAAGACAAGTTCGAGTCATACGCCTACTTTTGATTTAAGTTTGCCGCAGTTCTTGTGTGGCGTACTCATTTCTTTAAAAATCAGGAAAAGTAGCAATATGCTTTAAGTCTAGGTGTTTTTTAAATGCATGTATGTGTATGCATGTGTATGTTTGAGCGAGGGTATGTGTGTATATTTATGTGTGTGTGTTTGTGAGGAGAGAGAGAGAGAGAGAGAGAGAGAGAGAGAGAGAGAGAGAGAGAGAGAGAGAGAGAGAGAGTAAAAACGGG